TATTAAAATATAATTATTTTGATTTAACTGACTCTTTTTTTTTGAATCATTTTAGAATTTTATCAAGGTTACAGACCGCTATTTTAAGTTGCACAAGATCTCACTCTTTACTTTCAGATGAAAGTTAATTATCACATGGATGTTTCCTACCCTCTGGCAGAACTCTTGTCCTGTTGTGGCTTTTTTTTACTTTTTTTCGTAGAGGAAATCTTTTTGCTTGCGTTACCTGGGTTAGCTCACTCACATGGCTCTTCAAGCACCCACGTCGTAGTCCGCGAACCCGAAAGGCATAATCGGTAATTTTTACTGTTGTTTTGGTTAATGAGTTTTGTACTTAATTTGTCTTTTAGAAGACATTTTTTAAACTTTCCTAGATTCCGAGAAATGTCTTTCTTTTTATATTGGTTAATTTTGTGAGTTTTAAAAAATTAACAGGAAACATTTCTACAATTTTACAATTATTTTTCGTGATTTACCTGCTACATTAATTAGAATGTTCATTATCTTCCGCTCTTTTCCTTCCCTGCTTTCACTGGCTATTTTTTTTTTTTTTTGGTTGTTGGGTTTTTATTTACTTATTTTAGAGGGGGTTATGCAGTGAAGCATTGCTGTCATCAAGCTGCTTATAGTGTGAATGAATCTGAGGACTCTGGGCATTTGAACTTTGTTTCTAATGTGAAAGGTCAGTATCTTTTATTGCATGCTGTTATTTGGAGTGACTTTTTTTTACTACTTATTTTACTGCAAAATTTTGATAACCTTCTGTGTAACATTTAATGCTCCTGTTTTAAGAAGAAGATTCAGCAAAAAAAACTTTGTTGAAAACGAATGGGAATTCAGCGCATCGTTTATCAGCGGTTGGGCACTGCAAAAGTTTGCCTCACGGTGACTGCCTTAAGCAACAACGGTTACTTCATTTCCTTTAAACGTTTATTAGTTGAGCCAGTGTTAGAATTGGATTTGCTTTTGGTTCCACAATTAAGTTGCAGTCATCTGTACCATACCTGCTCTGCTAACACTGGCCAAACTAAATTACGCCTTATGAACTGCTTATTATTTTTTAATTCTTCTAACTTTCTGTTTGGTAGATGCACGTTTTTTTTTTTTTTTTTTTTTTTTTTTTTTTTTT